GTGTGTGTGTGTGTGTGTTGGCGAGGGTTGGGGAGAGGTTAGGTAGGAGTGGATGGAGAGGTTGGGCAAGGAGGGAGCGTAAGAGGGACGGGGTAGAGCCCGGCTGCCGCGGGGTCTAGCATCTTTCCCTGGTGGGTCGGGGAACGTGGAGACGGGGCCGCATGCTGGGATCCCTGGCTGCAGCGCAGATGCCTTAGCCCGCGCGGAGCGCCACGGGTTCCCTACTTTGCCGCAGTGGCTGCAGTGACCGCGACACCATCGCTGGTAGTTCCCTGCAGCTCCTCGCCTCGGGGCTGGGGTAGCTCCCGCATCCTCACCTCTTACCTCAGGCCCAGCAACCACGCTTCCACCCGAAGCGCTCAAGGAACCCTTCTCAGCGGGCAAGGATGGGGAAGGGGCAGCATTTCCCTCCGGGGAACCCTGGCAGGGGAAAAGGGCTGCCTGGACGAAGAGTGACTTGGGGGTTGAGGGGCGGCCGGGGTAGCAGTGAGAACTGCCTGGGATAAACAGGAGTGGGTATGGTTCGGTTCCCAGACCAGCACAGGCATAACCCGGGAGGAGGCGGCTGGCTTTCTCTGTGGTCTCCAGGCAGCGCCCACCCTCACCCGACACACTGACGCTCCCTGTTTGTTCTCAGCGCAGGTGGAGCAGCCTGTGTAGGGCGTCAGGTTCCCACGGGAGGGGGCTGGAAGAGGGCTGGAGCACCCGAGTGCAGCGGGAGCAAAACTGAAGGGGGCCTGCGCAGGCCTGCGTTGGGTTCCTTGGGCCGGACTTAACTCCTCTAATGGTTCAGCCCTGCTTGAGGTCATTCTTCTCCATTCCAAAGAAACTCTGATATGACCTGGAATTCCATTCTCTGGCCTCCAGCAGTAGCTGTCAGAGGTGGGAGTTATCGGTCAAAGAGAACATTAGACTGGGGATGAGGTCTGAGTTTATGGGGAATTCAGAGACTCTTAGCCAATCAGTCTTTTGGAGAGAACCTGGTCCAGCTAGCACTGAGTTTATAAGGGATGAGACACTGAAGGAGGATTTAAGCCCGAGGTCAGTGGGAATGTTGTCAACCGCCCCCCTCCCCCCTTCTCCTGGCACTACCTGCCTTCCCCACCATAGCAGCCTGATTTTGCTGTTTGTTCAGCTCCAGCACAGGTGAGGCCTCAGATAACCTGCTGGACTTTTCCCACACTGGATGCGGGTAAGGTGTGGGAGCAGGGAAGCAAAGGAAATGTAGGGGAAAGGGGAGTGGAAATAGGAGAAGTAGATGGGCATTTACTTATTCAGCAAAGTATGTGCCGGGTATAGGGCTGTACACTAGCTGTCTGACACGGTCTGTGCCTGAGTAGCTCCCAAGCGAGTGGGGGAAAATGACAGGTAAGCCAATGATGGCAACATACGGTCATAAGTGCGTCCATCAGGATGCACAAATCGGACATTTACAGATCATCCTGAATGCCCTACTCCCTCATGCTCCTGCACCCCTGTGGTGGAGGCTGCGATGAAAAGCCCAGACTCCTGCCGAAAAATGAAGGATTTACTCTCCTTCTTCACTGAGAATGCTGCTGGAAGATAGGCCACAACTGTCAGCCCCCTTTGGGAGTTGCCTAAGCTGAAGAAAGCTGGCTCATTTAAGGTCATGTTCCCTTTCTGGGGCATCCTGCATACAATGACTGATCAGCAGAGAGGTATAAAGGTTCAGCTCCCTCACCCCGACAGAGGACAACTCTGAAAGATGTTCACAGCTGCTCATAGGGTTGACTGAGGTCGTTGGGCTGCTCAGCTTCTCCCTTTGCCCAATCCCACTTTCATCCTCTCTCTTATACAGGTGTTGACTCTGAGAGCACTCCTTAGTAAACATCCTCCACAGTAATCTCTGTCTTAGAGTCTGCTTCCTGGGGAACATAACAGGCTCCCTCCCGTGTTCAATCCATCATGAAGTGCTGTTGATTTTAGCTACTGCTCCACTGACGTTGCCCCACTGTTTCTTGTACTACTCTCCCAGCCTCCTAAGTGGTCCACATTTTACTGATGCCTCCTTACATCCACCCTCCACCTTATAGCCAGAGTGATACATTTAGAATACAGATCCGATTATGCCACTCTTCTGACCTTTGCTTTGGGGATAGAAAAAGCGTTTTAACAGAGTCTATAAAGCCTGCATGTCCTGACTCCTACTGATCTCTCTAACCACCTTGTTTTGAGTCACTGTTGTTCTTGGTCTCTCCACTGAAGACACTGGCCTTCCTTTAGTCCAGTTTTTGGATGTATATCCTCTAGTTACATGGTTTCTGGGCATTCTCTCTGGAAGTTTTCCTTCCTTATTTAATTAACTCCTACTCATCCTTCTGATCTCAGCTCAAGGTCTCAGCATTTCTCAGGGGTGTTTCTCCTGGCTTTCCCTCCTGGGTAGGCAGAATCACAAGATGATCCCTAATGCCTCTCACTCTTGTATGGTCTCCTTCCCTCAGGTGTGGGTGGAACCTGTGAATGTGATGAGACTCTACTCCTAAGATTATGGTACATGGCAAAAGGGATTTTGTGGATGTAATTAATGATGCTAATCAGTTGACCTCAAGATACAGAGATTATCCAACTAGTCCTAACTAAATCATATGAATCCTTTAAAAGCCACGAATTTTCTCGGGTTGGCAGCAGAAGGGGAAGTCAAAGAGATTTGAGGAAAAAGATTTGATACACTGTAGCTGGCTTGAAGATGGAGGGGGCCATGATGCAAGGAATGGGGGTGGCTGTGGTTGGCTTGAGGATGGAAGAGGGCATAGAACAAGTACCTGAGAGTGGCCTCTAGCTGAGAGCCATCTCTGGCTGACAACCAGCAAGAAACTAGGGACCACAGTCCTACAACCACAGGAATTGGATCCTCCTAATCACAAGAATGAACCTGAAAGCAGATTTTCACCCAGAGCTTCCAGAAGAGAACTTAGTCTGGCTAGCATCTTGACTTCTGCTTGGTGATATCCTCCCTGAGCAAAGAACCCAGCCATACTACCTGTGAGCTAATAAGTGGATGTTTTTAAGCTACCAAATTCATGATAATTTGTTACCATAGAAATAGAAAGTAACACACCTCTCATCTCAGGAGGTAGCAAATACAGACCCTTGCAAGCCGTGCAAGGAAGAAGTGAGGGCATTGGAAATTCGTTAAAATTTAGAAAGACTTGGAAATATTGTAGTGGCAGCTGGTTTGGAGAGCAACTTAAGGAATGGGACCAACTGGGAACTGCATAGGAACTGTTTGATAATCACCTACTATGTTCCAAGCATATTATCTTTAATCCTCACAAAGAACTACAAATTTGGGCACAAGATTATTGATCACTATTTTAAATGAAAAAGCTGGCTCAGAGAGAGTTTTAATAACTTGCCCCAAGCCACAAAGCTACTAGGTGAAAAAAGCCACAATTCAAAGCCAGGGATTTGGGAAGTCAGAATTCAGGTGCTCCTAGTATGCTGCTTCCCAGTGTAAGTTTTATTGTTTCTCTGGTCACCTTCTTTTTCTCATTTTACAAAATATATTTTTTTCAAATTTTCTTGACTTATAAAATCTCTTATTTCATCTCTTACCCTGTTGACAGCCCATATGTACAAACACACACACACACACACACACACACACACACACACACACACACACATACCATCCTTCAGTCACAACAAGTAACACGGCCTCCCACTTCATAGAGAAAATAGTAGCTATAAGACAGCAGCTCCCACCAGGGAATCTGGTCCATTTTGGATAAGTAAAGTTTCAGATGCCTATTAGACATCTAAGCAGGAATTCCAGTAGGGAGCTGAATAAGCAACTTGTATAGGAAGTAACGTAAACCATAGAATTAATGAGAGTATGTTGAATAAGGAGAAATGAGGAACCAGGTCAGAAGTCTGGAAAAGACCATTATTTAAAGGCTGGATAGAGAAAGACCAGTCTGTAAAAGAGACCAAGAAGGAGCATATAGTGGGGTGAAAGGAGAACAAGGGGAGCAAGGCATCATGAAAGCAAAAGGAGACATGCTGAATGGAATCAAATACTGCTCCTGCACGAAGAAAACAAGGATGAGAAATGTTCTCTGAATTCAGGGACCTGGAGGTCCTTGGCCACAGAAAGAGCCATTTTGGTGAGGTCCTAGAGACAGAAGACAGATCAGATGTACTGAACGCTGAATGTCACGGGAGAAAGTGGAGCAAGTGACCTTAGACAAGGATTTTTTTAAAAATTTTATTTAATTAATTTTTTTATACAGCAGGTTCTTATTAGTTATCCATTTTATACATATTAGTGTATATATGTCAATCCCAATCTCTCAATTCATCACAGCACCGCCCCTCCTCACTTTCCCCCCTTGGTTAGACAAGTCTTTTTGAAGAATAGTTATTAAGGAAAGGAAAGAGGGTAGTAACTAGAGGGGGATGTGGAATGCAAGATTTTAAGATGGAAGAAGTAGAACATTTTTAGGGGCAGAGGGAATTACTGCAATGTGTAGAAAAGACTGAAGATACGAGAGAGAGACACTAATGCAAGGTTCCTGAGAAAAGGTAGGGAAGTACGGAACCCAGTGCATGTGTGGAGGGTTCTAGCTTTTGATGGGAGTACAGA